TTTGGAGGAGAGAGGTCATGTAAAGTCAAGCTGAGATCTGTTTAAGCTGCCCAGGGTTCATTTGAGGTCAACCTGAGAGCCAGTTAGGGTTCATCTGAAGTCAGTGCAGCCCTTGTTTGATGCCCAGAGGTCACTTAGGTGAACCTGAGATTCAAATACTTATCTCCGTAGTCCTTTGAGGTCAACTTAGCCCTCATTTTGTGTTTGGGAGGTCATTAAAGGTCAACCGCAGTCCTTGTTTCCTGCCTGGAGCCATCTGAGGTTAACTTTTGATCCAAGTAGTTCTTGCGGTCATTTGAGGTCAGCGGAGCTTTTGGCTGGTGCCTGAGGTCATTTCAGGTCACCGTGAGGTATAATTTCCTGAATCAGGGTTATCTGAAGTCATCAGTAGATCCAGTTATCTGACTGGGGACCATATGAAGTCAGCCTGGCTCTTGTTTGTTCTCCAAGGGTCACCTGAGCTGAAAATGAGATTCAGTTATCTGCTTGGAGGTAATCTGAGGTCAATATTGTTCCCATTTTGGGTCTGGAGTCATCTGAGGTCTACCTGAGAGCCAATTAGTTGCACAGGATCATTTGAGGTCAACAACAGCCCCTGTTTCCTACTCACAAGGGTCATTCAAGATCAATCAGAGAGCCAATTAACCTATGCAGGGGTCATGTGAGGTCAGCATTGCTTTCATTTGGAGGAGCTGGTCATGTGAGGTCGATTTGCGATCCAATGAAATTGCCCAGGGTTCATTTGTGGTCAACATGAATGCTAGCTGGAGTTCATTTGAGGTCTGTGCAGCCCTTGTTTGGAGCCCAGAGGTCATTTAAGGTGAACCTGAGATCCAAATATTTGTCTTGATGGTCATTTCAGGTCAACCTAGACTTTACTTGGTGCTTGGGGTCATTAGAGGTGAACTGTAGCCCTTGTTTCCAGCCCATGGTCATCTGAAGTCAACTTGAGATACAAACCGTTACCTGGGGTCATTTGAGGTCATCCCAGTTGGTTGATGTCTGAGGTCAGTTCAGATAAGCATGAGCATGAGCCCCAATTATTGATGGGGGGCTTTTGAGGTCAAAGTGGCCCTCATTTGATCCTCAGAGCTTACTGAGGTCAATGCTCCTCACCTTTGATGGCTGAGGTCATTTAAGGTCAGCCTAACATCCAGTTAACTGCCTGGAGTCATATGAGGTCAACCCAGCCCTCATTTTCATTCTAGAGGTTATCTGAAGTTAAACTCAGAGCCAGTTAACCTTCCCAGGTGTCATTTAAGGTTAACCCTAATTCTAATTAGTTGCCCCAACCACTCATTTAAGGTCAACTTGGCCCCTGTCTGGTGCCCAGGGTTATTTGAGGTTAATTTAGACCTTAATGTCATTTCCTTTCCAGGCTCATCTGAGGCCCACCTGAAATCTAGTTAGCAGCACAGGGGTCACCTGTGGCCAACTCCGGCTCTCATTTGTTGCTCTGAGGTCATTTGAGATAACCCGGACTTCATTTGTTCAGCTTAGTCAGCTGCTACAGGGTCTCCTAAGGTTAGCCACCTCTCCCTTAGTATTTGATGAAAGTAGATATTTGAGACCAGCCTTGGACCTTTTTTGCCCTCATTACTATCATGCAGTCTTATCTTGCCTCTCCATTCTGCTAAGGTTCCTCATGGTCAACCTTAGCCCTTCTGTGCTGCTCAGAGACCGTAAGTGGTCCTATTCAGTTCTTGTTTTGTTCACTATAGCTATTTAACCTCAACTGTAGCTCTAATTTGCTGAGGGCCGCTTGAGTTCACATCCTTCCCTAGGTGGGTGCAGGCTGGGATCCTCTGTAGTCATCTTCCGCCTTCACTCTGCCTAACCGTTAGCTGAGCTCAGTCAGATCCAATGATTTTACTTTGCCCGGAGTTCAGGTCACTGGTCATCTCAGCTGAAATCCATACATGGAAGACATTATGCCAGGTCAGCTATTAATCCAGGTAGCTAAACAGACGTTTTCTGAAACTGAATATTTGTCTCATTTCCTGAGTAAGATTTCACAGATTGCCTCAGTTTCAGTCTCTGGAGTCATGTGAGACTAAGCTCAGTGTTGATTTCAGGGACCACATTTGTCCTAGTCCATGCGCAATCCCAATTTGCTGCTCAGATATTTTCAAAGGTCAGGTAATACTTCAATTTCACAGGAGGGGTCAATTCTCAGCCCAGTTTCTCTGTTTCATGATTAGGCGAGGCACTGTTTTCTTGAATCTAAGCCACCTGGGATGCAGTGTTGAGCCTAATTCCACCTCATCACTGTCCCACAGAATCAACTGAGAAGTCATTGAGACCCAATTCCCAAAAGTTCAAAGAAGGAAATCCTTACTGAAAGCTGGGTGCACTACCTTTGCGGCTGTGTCATAGACTTCACTTCTTCTGCAGTAATATTATGTTCATTATGTCACTTTTTTTCTAATCACATGCATCAAATATTTGCCCACTGATAGTGTATGCTACCTGAATTTTTTACAGTGAATCCCCCCGTACTAGTAGTGGAACAGCCTCTCCCCTTTCAACTTGCTTCAGTATTAGACACCTGACATAAACGTGTTGTGCCTACACAGCGCACAAATGCTGTGTATTTTACTAGAGTCTGCCTCACTTCAGATCACAGGAGCAACGTGAAGTTGGCTGCATCTCAGCAGGATCAGTTACGAACAGCAGCAGAGTCTTAGAAGTCACAGGCTCCTCTCTGCTCCTTACCTTCCTCTTCCTCCTCCTTTCTGCCAGCTGTGGGTATGTCAGACTGGCTGCACGATGTCACAATCCAAGTCAAGTTCTTTCAGTGACAGCCTAAGAAATGGAAGGTTTTAGCCTTCTACCTAAATCCCTGACACAAAGAGCATAGCAGATCTCTCTTTATGCAATATTCACTGTTTTTTTCAGGATGGGCTTTTCGAGCTTTGTTTTCTTTTTTCCTTTAATCTTCAGCATTTTATCACAACTAACATCACAATCTAAATGAAACCTGTTTATTTTGAAACACTAGTGTATTTGCTCTGTCTCTGCAAATAGAGCTAACGCCCGGTAGGCAAATGAACAGAGTCTTGCAACAGCTTATGCACTTTTCAAATATCAAATAGGAAAGTTATTTTTGTTTGATTTTAGCTTGAGGTTTTCCTTCTCTCGTAAGAGTTACCATATCTTAGGGGATCAAACTGTGTTCTAGAGTAGGTCAAGATATAACGAGCACAGTAAAGAAAAGCTGAAAAGCAACAGCAGTTTTTGTAAAAAGTCTAGCAACAGGGAAATCATTAACACCTCTGGGGTGCTCACAGTTAATGGGAAGGCCAGTGTCACTGCAAAAAGGCTTTTCTCTATTTCTGGGATCACCTTGTCAATCAAAAAGTGAGCTCACCATTGGCAGCAAGATCTTAAGAATAGAAAACAGATGTAAAAGGTGGCTGATATTGTCACAGTCCGACCCAGAGGGACAGGCACCCCAACAGAAGGGCATGAGGGGGATACTGGACAGAGGACTGTAAACTAAACAGATTCGGGGTGGTGGTATAGGTGTATGTGTAGCAATGAATGGATTCACAATGTCAATAAACAGATAACCTTTTAATAACAATTAACAGTTATAACAGATAACCTTGGAAACATCAAGATATATACATGTACAGTATTTACAACACAGGTGGAGGGATAGAACAATATAAAGATGTGCACATACAGGGGGTAGTAGGTTTATCTGGAGAAAATAGGATATAAAGATGAAAACAATAATAATCAAAGACGCCCAAAAGGCCACATCAAGCAACACACCTCTCCCCAATACTGTGGCCATATTACCAACTAGGGCACACCAACAGGTGTGCCATCTGCCCAGTACTAGGACCGAATTAGTGTTTACATGTCCACTGAGCTCTCGTGTGGCAACTCCTTTGGTGGCTCCTCTGGCAGCTCCTGGTCCAGCGTCCTGAATCAGGGTTGGGGGGTTCCCATCCACCATCCTGTTGCTTCCAGTGAAGGCCTTGAAAAAGGCTGCTTAGCTTCATGCAGCCTTTAACAAGGCCACTAAGTGGTTGGAATAGCAATGCCTTCTTCATTCTTTCACTCCACCATCATCACCACATACACACACAGGCTTGGGGCTGCAGCCCTTTTTATAGGCAGCCAAATGGGCAGTGGGCATATCTCCAAGTGCCTGGTGCGTGCCGATTGGTTAGTTTCTCATCCTTTATTTGAATGCAGACCTGCCTGGGGACTAAAGGAGTCGGGTTCTCCGTAGTGGTGGAATATCACAAGATGCATTTTGGCCAAGGAGGTTAAAGAAGTGGTACTGGGAGTCATGTAAAGGCCAACCTGACTGACGGGCCACGGCTACTAGAACTTTCTATGGGCCACGGGGTTAAATGGCTACAGATATAAAATAGTATCTTTAACAATGAAGTCACAGAGTGCCATTAATTTATACCAGTTCTTTGTTTACACCAGTGGCTGCATGGCCGTTCCATATCACAGCTCCAGAATTAGGGCAAAATTAATATTGTCAAATTAAAGTGATTATATTTGTTTTTCTTAAGAGCCTGCACCAGTGATTTGGTTTATTAACTACCAAGTTTTTTAAGACTCAAATATGCATCTCAAAAAATCTGAACGTTATTGAACAGCTAATAATTTAAGTTGTAGTCAATAGAGCACATTATAAAGTATCTATTTTCTATTTCTATGAGAAGAAATTTTTACTTATGGCACAAGTATATGTAAACGTACTTACTACAAGCATACTGGCTCAAGTATAGAAACTAATGTTAACATACCATTAAAAAAGAAGATTCAGGAGAGTTGAAAAACACATGAGACGCACAGAAGTGATATGTTTATTATCTTGAGATTTAAAATTCAAATAAAAATAAACCTACATTATTTTCCAAATATAACTTTCACCCGTTTCCCTTACAACTTGGAAATATACTATTTCATTCTATACCCACCAAGATCAGAACTTGGAAATATACTATTTCATTCTATACCCACCAAGATCAGAAACATATCTGAAAATGTGATTTTATTTTTTTGCAACAGGATGAAATAGATTGACAAAACCACATCAAAATATGAATCTATTTCTAGGAAATAGAGATCTAATGATATTAAATCTAATGCTAGAGGTCTTCTGCGTTTATTGCACCACCAAAAAACACGTAACCCTGAAAACAGCTCAGCTGACAAAAATAAATGAAATAACACCTTCTGAGGTTTGCAACTTGTGAATATTTCGTATAAGTTTAAGCTAAATTTCCAATGCAATAGCTGTCAAAACCACATTTTGTTTTGAGCAACCTCGGCTGAATTCTCAAATAAGCTTCTTTTAAGTTCACATGAAAATGGGAGTTCATAAATTCTTTGGTTTCAAATTTTTTCAGAGCTTCTAAATCACCTACTGCCTTACTTTTTCAGTAAAGTAAGCAGTGCTCTATTCTGAATCCACCAGAAGAATAAACTAAAAAAATCTGAAATGTGCTTTCAAGCAAAAACAAATATTGAAACTAACTATCAGAAAAGTAAACCTTTTCCACACTTCTAGCTGTTATGGAGCAGCTAAAGAAAAAGCCCTATCCTATAGAACTTCTTCCATTCCTCCATGAAAGGTGGTTTTAACATGAGGCTTCCTGCTTTTCCCACTAAGGGCCACTTTTTTTTTCATGTTTTAAGCATGCCCAGGCTTCAATCTAAGGTCAGTATTTAGACATCAAAAGACAATTTTAAAAAAGTACAGAATCTGGAGCAAGACAGACACCAAGGACTCCAAAGAAGAAAAAATAAATCTTTTCAAATTATTTTCATTACTATTTATTACTGAACTCTGATAAAGCTAGAGGTAAAAAAGATTTTTACATAAATTACCCAAACTTACAGTTTAGTGAAATGTAAAGCAGCCCTTCCACAAAAGTGAAAAATATAAGGTGAAGTAAAATTTATTAGCACCCAGAATCACTGGAATTTTTCAACTTAGTGTCTCCATACATGGAAAAATTTGTGCTCTAAGAGAAGTCTATGACACAACAATTTCAAGTGCATCCTTTTCTTGGTTGACTGTATTAATATTTGGCATTGAGCAAAATCAGACATCAAATGTGTTTGTGTAAGCTGTATTTATAACTGACAGTCCTCTTGTGAGGACCCCTGATTTGAGACAAAGGTAGTATGTACCTGGATGGGTATATTATAAAAAAGGATAAGATGAATCTGCACTGCTATAAACACCGTACCTGTCCTCACAAACATTGCTATTAACTCAGAAGCCACTCACTCTTGAAGGCAAAGGATGGTTGTTAAGATAATGTGGAGTATGACTTGGTAATATCTTTGAAATGCAAAAAGAAACAAAAGGTGCTCAAGCCCAGTTTGCTGTGTCTAATCTACTTCTTATGTCTAATCTATAAGTGTCCGTAATTCTATGCTTTTGACGCAAGAATTTATGGCAATGAGTGAGGAAAACAACACTATCAAGATAAGATTTAAATAGTCCTTAACTTTAAAAGCATATTGAAATCTCATTTAACTTAAGTGATTTTAAAGGCATGCTAAAAGTTAGATATTCTCCAGACAAAGTTCTCTCTTTAAAGGATGGGCCTAAATACATCTCTTCCTAAAGGCAAATTCTAAGAGAATAATCACTGGAAGTAAATCCACTATCTTACCAGTGAAGGGATCAAAGTCCACCAACATTATGCAGAGATGCAATTAATCACTTTCACAGACAGGAAAAAAACTTGCCAATATGTTGAACTGCTTCAAAGAAAAGGGGAAGATCATTTTTGCAAAATCTATACAAATGAATACAAGAGAGGTATTATTTTCCACAGAAAGAACCTTAGCAAAACTATAAAAAAAAAAAAGCCAGAAGTATATCTTCAGGGTGCTCTCAGGAACTGAAGACATCTCAATCAAACATACAGCATATTTCAGTGTCAGAATCAATATCATAATCAATACAAAAACTGGGAACATGTAACTTTTAATTCTTTTGTGTACATAGACATTTTCTAAATATACCAAATGAACAATAAGTCATCACAAGTAGTCCCCTTACACATCAAAAATGTACTATCAGTTGTGATGGAAACATGATTTTGTTCTGTATTTAAGAACAAAATTTTCTGATGACTTATATTTCATGATGAAGTATTTCTCCTGTTAATACAAAAGGAGAAATTTCCTTCCCTGATAAAAGTGATCTCTAATGCAATTTAAGTTGTATTAGAGATATTTATGCTGAGCAGTTTCTTTACATCCTGATTCTACAAAGCAAATTGAATATACTAGATTTTTCTATATTGAGAAATTGTACTGAAATCACAGGATATCAATAGAAACAATCATGTATACTTTTGCAGCATCTGAATCTAACTGCACCACTGGTAGAAAAAAGTCCTGTGCACAGCCTGACATTGACAATAACCAGCTAAGTACTAAATAGAACACATACTGCTTTTTGTGCCTTTTCAAATCTTGATTGCAATTTACAACTTAAAGAATTAAAAATATTCTGAAGCTAAAATATTTTAAAGAAAAACAGATCATGGTTAAAAATGGAATCATGTTCAAAGTTGTTGTTTAGTGCATGTTTGTATTAAAGATGGTGGATTTTTCAATTCCATCAACTCAAATCAGGAAAGTTCAGTCATACTTGTGTGTTCAACCTTTCATTATTCAATTTTAATAAAGTCTTGGCATGTGAAAAGAGTTCAAGGTGAAGCTCCCATAAAATTTTGCAGTCTACTTGCTATATCCATCACTATTGCTCAAACCACTAACTTACTACTCATGCACTCTTCGCTTGTCACTGCATCACAATGAAAACATAGAGAGAGAACAACTTTTCTGCAATTTCTTGGAGAGTCTCCTGTGCACAGAGCAGAAGTGAGCATGGGGTTGAGTGGGCTCTGTATCTGAAAACGAATGCTTTGTACATTTATGTACATTTAGTTTTTTACTAAAGAGCAGAGAGAAACATCAAATCATTCCCTCGTGGAAATATGTTGGTTGCAGTCCTTTTCCTAAGCAAGCACAGTGTGGCATCATTAACCATATTTCCAAAAAAAAGGCAGTGATGGAACAGTTCATCCTGCTAAGGGGTGATCTGTTCCCGATAATTTACTGAACAGTACCAGAAGGACCAGCCCAAGAGCACAGAGGAATAACTAGAAAGATGCTTTTGACTCCTTGCCCACAGAGTATGTAGACGGCAGCAAGATGTTGCACTCGGACATCTACGTTTTTTTCTTTCAGATTGACCTGCAGCAGTGATAATGGGGTGGTTTTCAAGCATGCAAACACATGGGCTCCACTCACAGCCGTGTGTCATACTCCAAAGGCTCGTTCATGCCCTCAGCTCCTCCTGTCTCTGTCTCTCGTTCGAAGGCTGGACCAAGCCTTTCCAGTGTGTAGTCATTTCTTCTCAAATCTGTGGCAAGAAAATAAATTCAATGATGCAGATAAATAAAAGATTGAAAAATGTGTACCCAGAGCAGAGCCATCCAGCCCTGCAGCTGGCAGCAGCCTGTTAGCCGCATCCAGGAAGCCAAGAATTGGCAATGGGGCAAACTAGAGCCCCAGAGGGAGGAGAGCCCTGGAGAGGCCAAAAATGATGTGAGCTAATGTGAACAGCCTGTCTCTTGCTGAATTCATTCAGCAAATTTTCTCATCTACAATCTCTAGCTACCGTAGACATAAGTAATCCAAGAAAACAACTCCATAGTTTCTGTTTCAAAATCAAACAGCAAATATTATTCCGTGTACCTACTGCAAGGCAGGCGCTTCCCTCTGGAAAAAATATACAGGCAAAAATTCATCCAAAGCAGCAATATATTTTGGCTTTGAGCCTTTTAAATCTACATCACAAAAAACAGGAGCACGTTCTAACAAACCTAACACAAACAACAGGCAACCTATTTCAGCAGAAAGAAAGGGTTACAGTGGATAGGACCCACTGTATCCAGGGACCAAGAGAGCTGCAGTGAGTTTTTCCTAGGCTAATGCATTGCTAGTTTTTACCAATCTTTAGCCTCTCTTATTTTAAAAATTATTGCTGAGGTTATCTGCACTGATTCTCCTTGAAAAATGATCCATTACTTTGCACAGCAAAGGAAACAATTCAGCGTGTAGAAGCTAGCACGCTGACTGCTAACATCAGACCGACATCATCAAACTCTAACATGGTTGCTGGGCAAAAGAGTAAGGTGACAGAGCAATATTTTCCTATTCACCTTTGCCCAGAGAGAGTGTGCCAGGTATGCATCAGTGTTCATCACAACGCAATAGAATTTCAATTCCTGTCTTTATATCACACTTAGGATTTTATTATCTTGTATTCAGAAAGTTAGAGATTAAAAATTAATCTTTATTTTGCATACCAGGAAGTTTCAGCTTCCTGCAGCAAGAATTACAGTGGTGCTTTGCAATGAAGTTTCTTATTGCATCTTCCCCTAGGTTTGCTGGTCCAAATACCATTTTTCCAGATCTGAAAGAAAAAATATAATCAATTATCTCAAAACCAAGTAATTCCAGAATGAAAAATGGGAAAGAATACAAGGTTCTAGAAGTAAAGTTCAAAGTCAAATATCTCAATTATTCTGCAGATTATAGAGAAATTGTTTCAAGTGTAAACTGTCAGTGGGGTGATGATATTTTATATTTATTAAATCAGAGTTAAGTTAGCCCTTTGTATAAAGACAATCAAACCTTAGTGTCTATCACAAGTTTCTTAGCTCTGGGACAAGAAAATTTCCAGTTCTGGTATTAGCCTAGATATATACCTCACAGCTACTTTACCCAGTACTGCATCTCAGAGATTCAGCATAGCCATGCCATGACCTGCTCTGAAGAGATACAGGGCAGACCCAGCAGTTCCCACTAAAACGCTCAGTGGAAATGTGGGCACAGTAGCATGCAGAGAGCATATGCCAGAACCTGAATGACTCTGTGGGAAGTGTCGTTCATTTCCATCAAGCAGCTGGCTTGGGTTTGGTTTTGATAGTGAACATCTGGGAACAAACCAGAGATAGCAAATGCTGAGGTGAAATTCAGCAGAACTTTTGCCTTATTTAAGAACAGAAAGCCAGGTTTGCCAAAGGAAGCAGAGCCCTGGTCATATCAATATGCAGTACAGAAAAAGAATATAGTACGCTTCTGCCAAGCAAGGCTTTTAAATTTATTGGCTTCTTCCTATGCTCATTTCTGTGTGTCTGCACACTGGCCAATTCAGCAACGTTACTAAGGGATGCATTTGGGAAAGCGTATTGCATATCCTGTACGAAGCTGACACAATTACAAACAGAAGCAAGCTATACCCAGACATATATTAGAAGTACCACATAATTATAATAGATTCTTAATGCAGTCTGAGAGATCAGTGATCATTAATTTTAATATTGCTCCACCATTGTTTTCAAGAATTTAATTGACATTCTAGACATCACGGAACACAGCACACAAGAAACACTTCCAAAAAACGTTATGAAAGCTAATATTTTATTGTGATGATATGCAGAGCGGAAACAACACATTTTAAAATCTGAAATCAATTATAGCTCTGAGAAGCTTTAGAAAAAGATTTTAGCTCTCTCAAATCTTTCTGTAAACCACATTCAGAAGATATATTATATCTAAGGATAACCTTTTGCAAATATGACAAGTTCTCCCCTTTCACATGGGAGAAGTCAAAACTCATACTGAAAGCTTAATATCTGTCTAATTTCTGGCAGGCAGTAAATAATGTCTGTCTCCTGGTTCATTCAAGCAGTAGTCTAATTAACCTTTATTGCAAATTAGTGCATCAAAACAGATCAGAAGTGGAGTATTACTTAAGTGCCATATAGACACTTTAAATGACACAATCCTGCATTGCCATTTCTAGCCTTCGGTCTAACCTGGTAAAATGCCAGTAAGAATAGAATAGACAAATATTTGCTTCAGCAGATACAGAAAACCTAACTCCTAAGCTATAGAACCACTCTGATGTTCCTTTTTGATTATTCCATTTGATTACTCCATTTTGGAAACTTATTTCAAGAAAGATGAGGATAAATTAGGTAAAGAACAAGAATGACCAGCAGTCTAGATATCAGGACATACACAAAGACTTTAGTGAGTAGCCTAAAAACAGAAGAAAGAAATTAAAGGAGAACATGGGGGCTGTCTTTGAAACTAATTGAAGATTTGTCCTCTATGTCAATAATAGACAGGACCAGAATGAAATATTTCAGGAAAATCTTTTTAATAGTAAGGATCACAAAGTATTGAAAACAGACATTCTGCGAAGGTTTTAGGGTCATCATCCCTGGAAGTCCTCAAGCGTTGGCCATATAGGAGGACCTGTAAGGCCGAACACAGGAATGACTTGGTGCAGAAGAAGAACCAGCTGAACCCTTGAGGTCCCTTCTAAGCCTATAACGTTCTACAAGTGAGGTAACTCTCCTGGTTATTCATGGTCTCTCCAAGGAGAGAAGAATACCAAATCCCACTTTCCTAAACCCTAAGGAGGTACATTTATACGAGTTACCGGGATTTAAAAAAAAGCCTGTTCCTCCTTTTTTTCAGAGCCTTATCTAATAGTAAATGCTCTAATAATAAATGCTCAATAAATGCCTACCAGAGGGGCCTGGCTGGCAGTCTGGTATGTATCTAAACAGTGCGTTGATGCAAAAAGTGCTCCTCACAGTCAAGACAGAGCTGTGAAAGCTCAAAGCAGACAACAAGGCATCTGCAAAACTTTACTGATGGAAAGTGGGGACTTCATAGCAATGGACTGTGGGGGCTTCATGCCCTCACCTTTCTAGGGAGGCATCCAAGTTATGTCATCTATATCTTTTTGCAGACTGAACTTCCAGTTCTCCTGTTTCCATTGTGCAGGTTTCTAGACTAGAGGTGCAGTCAACGCAGAGGTTTTGTCTATTGGCAGCATTTCAGCCATCATTGTTTAGCTGAAATTACACAAGCTCAGTATAACCTCAGAACTTATGCTAAATGAGTAGTTGAGAGGACAAGGTCTCCACTCATTCCTACAACCTTCAGCCCATCACTATGTGCTTGAGAGCTTTAAAAAGAGAGAATGAAAGATCTAGCACCTCTGACTCCTTCTTTTCACATGTTTGTAACGAGTTTTTTACCTGCAAGAGCCCGTTTCTTCACCTCTCTCAGCAGGCCTAATTCGTGAGTTCTTCCCAATTTGAAACTCAGCCCACAATTCTCATCATCCGCTCTACAGATATCCTTCACCTTGTGCCTGTGAAAGCTTTACCAGCACATACTTTATTGTGGATTTGGCAAGTGTTACACACTGAAACAAGTATTATTTACGAGGTAAGTCTTCCCAGTGTTTGGGCTGTACAGGAGTCTGTAGGGACTGCACTGTGTCAAGACTCTGCTGCTGTACCTCGACTACTCCTGCTTTCACAAGAAATCTGTTCGCGAACATTTTACCTGCATCTTTCATTTCCACTTCATTCATCCTGTGAACTGTACATGGCCAGATCTTCAATCAGTGCTAAATATCCATGAAGTCACACTGATTTATACCAGCTTGGGATCTGTCTGAGACCCTGCAGCATCAGGTATACTTTTCACACAGATCTTTTATTTTTATCTTGGTACTGTACATAAAACCAAGTTACAATGCCACACTATCACAGGAATAGAGGTCACATTTGCCATTGAAAACTCCATTCCATGACAGCATGTAGAATGCATGAAAGAAAAGACTCATTATAAGATAATAACATGAGCCACTAAATCAATGGAATTACAGAAACAAGAGATAAATAATGTACTTATAAGCAGTGCTAAAATTTGTATCAGCCCTATCAGCCAGATGCCATCTACTCTCTCCCAGGCTTCTAAGAAAATGTGAGCTCAAAGCAACTTTTGAGGCAGGATATAGGTTTTGATGAAGTACATTACTTACAAAAGAAAATATAAAACAGATCTTCATTCTGCTAAAAATGTTTCCCCTGTGATGGAGTGAAGGTTAGAGCAAAGACAGTTCATTTGCATCATTATTATTATTATTATTTTAGAAAGCATGCCTTAGAATTGGTTATCTGTTAGCTCCTTACAAAATCCGTCTGCAGTTTCACTTATTCCTTCACATCCCTGAATCAAAACTATATAGTTTCAAAACTTGCCGTTCTGAAGATTTCCCAGAACATAAGAAAATCAAGCTGGTTTTGATTATTTAATCAGCATTTGCTCTTTAACTAGGTCTTGACTGTATTGCAGATAATAGAAACAAAGCAACAAGAAGTTTTGAAAACAGCATCTGCAGGATCAAATTTTAGTAAGCACGACAAAATGATTTAATGACCAAAATAATCCAGAAGGATGCTAACAAACAGATCCTTCAAGATAACATCAGTAAATATTATTTCTTTTTCAGAGAGGATAAGCTGAGTTGCCATGAGAATTACTGTGGTCTAATGTCTGTGGCCACAGTCTTCAGTAATAACTCACATCAACAATTTATTTAGGTTACACATTTGCTTCCACTGAAGTAAAAAACCCACTTGGAATAGTAGCCAGCCAGACCTTTATTCATCTGTAGCAATACTTTAAAAACATTTACTCAAATCTATGTGGTGAACAACTATATAACTAATCTCTCTGCATCCCTCTCCTAAGCTAGCCTTGTGCTTCTGTCAAGATCCTTGTCAAGATCCCTGTCTTGACCTACTTAGGGCAAGATTTTGTCACTGTGAAGTGCTCAGCATATTTTTGATGTTGCTTTCAGAGTAAATATTATATGGCCAATACATCCGCTTTCATAATTAAACATTCACGCAACAATAACACAGTCATTTATTACTAATCATATTAATGAAGTATTAACAATGGTCCCAGAACTAAGAGTCAGCGTCCAAAATAGACTTGTTCTGAGTTCCAGGCAAGTCATCTGGTATTTCTATCATTAATTTCTCCTTGCGTTAAAACAGATTATTCATATTTATATCTTCTTTCCTGCCCAGATTGTGAAACATCTTTCATCAGATGACATGACCTGAGCGAGGGTGAACCGAGCTGAGCGCACAGTAGCTGGTGAAACGTGTGGGTCTAGAAAGACCCTTCAGAGAAGAGTACCCTGCAGGGTAGCACCCCTCAAGCTATGGCCTCTCCTCTGCTCTGTATCTGATCTGCAGGTCAGCTCACAGAGATACAGTCGTGGAGGGGCTCACAGCCCCGTCTCAGAGAGCCTCAGGCATGCGGGGTCACAGGGCAGGAGAAGGCCATGACAAGACACAAAGGGCAGGTAGGCATGTCTGTGGGGGTATCCGGGAGTCAGCTGTGTTTGTCTCATATGCTACAGGTGAATATCAGTGGGGCTGTTTCATTTATTGCACACAACTGTGACGTCTACCTAGATACTAGCCTTGATTCAGCAATTTGATCTACGAAGGCAGATCGCTACTTCTGTGCACCCTTCCTGATTTTTGTGACCTGCCATGCAAGATTAAATATCAACGTGTCATGGCTCTAAGCCTATAAGGTGCAGTAGGCCTCAATGCACCACTAGGGGCTATTGGAAAGATCAGAAATCCAGAGCCTTATGCATATGGCCCTCTACTCACTACCTTAAGCCATGTGGCCCTATATACTCAATGAAGCAGTACCCCACCAGGCGGCGGAAACAGAACTACGTTTAAGTTACTAAGGAACTCCTTAGGTGCATATGTACTAAGAAAGTTATGGAGTCTAACTTCCCACTCCTGCTCTCCCTGGAAAACTTCTGTGCTCCCAGCAGAGCAACGTAGGACTCTTCCCACCTTCATACACCCCTCACGAGATGTGGAAGCTGGGGCACATGCAGCTCCCCGTGTCCAAAGTCCTCCAAAGCACAGTGGAGGACTCAGCCATCACGGCTTCATTTAACCCAGACTCCTGACCAAAATAATTAAATCTCTCACATAGAACATAAAAATCCCCCTAAATATATAGGATGTTGCCAAATGTTTGAAGTGAACGATAATTTCATCAGAGAGAAACTTACTTCTTGTCTTCAGGTTTAATCACAGATGGATCTGTAAGGTTTTCCCCAACACCTACAATAAAATCAACAGTGTGTGTTATAAGGGACAGTAGCAACGATCTCACAATATGGTACCTAAAAACATGTAATTATCTATTTTCTTTGTAGATCATAAAATGTCAGAGTTAGAGCGGTTGTGAATTAAAAAGAACAAGATAAGACTAAAAAACTATTAACTAAAGGCAAATATTTGGAGTGCTCATCATGGTCCTGACTTCAGCTGCTCTGTGGTTTATTTCTATGCACACTGAAGGCTTATGAAAATAATTGTAACCACTAAAAATTATGCTGAAGCTGAAATAACTAAATAAAATGTAACCAAGACCGACACTTTTAATTAAGTAGAGGCATTTGTCTGGTTTTCATTCCTACTGATTTCAATGGATCTACTCCATATATAAGTTCTCCTCAAGGTACGAAGCATGAGACATAACTCATTATTCAATCACGTTATGAGCAAATGCTTGGATCTGTTATCCTTTTCTCTTCCGGATGGCCACCGAAGGGGATTAAATATGTAACTTCCGTGAATGCTTATACGTATTTTGCAGTTTTCCCCAAACTGATGGCATACTTTCATTTTACCAGAAAGCTCTTTCCTTTTATCTGGGGAAATGATTGTGTTTTTTAACTAAAGAATAAAGCCTATGAGTGTATGATATGCAATTATTTTTATTTCCAAAGGCCACTGATGATGAGCTTATGTTCTGCAATGAAAACCAGTAAAGGTTGTGGAAATAGCATTTTGTAATTGAACTACCCACAGATCCACTCTTTCAAAAAGCGTCATTGCAGTTGAGGTAAATTAGACAAAATATAGTGTATGTGTCTGAGATGGTTATCATATAATATAATAACTTATCTTCAATAGAGATTAGTCCTTTTAAAACACCAAGAGGAGCAGCTGTTGACTTTTCCTAAACTCCAGATTACAGAACAAGGGGTCTACAACAAGATAAAAACCAGAGAGCAAAACCAGAGCAGATGAATCTACAAAGATTTTAGTCTTTTTCCTTGTTTGAGATGAAAACTGAAGCTCCAGTCTTGATGAGATTTACACAGATGTTTAATTTTTCCATGTCTGAGCCAACACAGTTGGTCTGGAACTGTCAGGAGTTGTATAATAAACCCAAGCAAACGTAAGACAAATTCCAGTAAGCTATAGTGAAGACACACTTACTCTTTCTGAATTTTTTAATGTGCAGCTACAACCAAACGGAGGCAAGGATAGAATTATAGGTTTATTTTGCATAATAAGCACGTCTTTTTCTAATTCACAGCTTCTGAATGCTGTAAAATGTAAATATGTTAAGTCTCTGTCTACCCGTACACATTTCCCTTGACAGAAATGACAAACAATGGTGTTTATACTGTTTGATGGGGGCTGTTCGTCTTCAGAACATTGTCAACTGTTTTATCTCTTTAAAATATGCCATGTTCCCACTTATACATGTACTATAAAGAGATCACATGCTCTTTGAAGGAGCCACCAGACTTTGTGAATAGTATTCAGGCTTGCAACTTATGTAAACTGCTTACAGATTTATTAATAAGAAAAAATATATATATAGATACTAGTTCTCAGTGCTCTGACAGATACACACACACACATACACACACACATACACACACAGTTGTGCATACATAATATGCATGGGCCCACTTGAAACTATGAACATAAACTATACCTATATATCTGAACAAATATAAAAATATCTTAACTGTGGAGTGGTTTTTTGGAGCCAGTTGAAATGTTCCTGCATGCTTTAACTGCCTGCTGCTTGCCCATGCAGCCTAGATGTATTTGAGGCCCCATTATTCTCCCGTTACACCTACATTATTCCAACGTGGCTCTGTGGACGCTCATTGACCAATGCCACACAACAGATACTCCGGGGTTGCTTTAGCTTTGCCAGTATGCAAATAAGAAGAGAATTTGGCCCATTCCTCAGTATTAAATTCTCTTTTGAAAGAAGAGCTTTCGTGATAAAAAGGGTCCAGGTCAGCAGTCACCTTGCAAATCCAGGACAAGGAGCTCCCCACGAGTATACACGTAGGTCCAATGGGAGAAGGCCAGCATCACCTCTTCCAGCAAGCTGCTGGGAGTAATCTCATCTCCATTGTTGTTGTTGTATTTCCGAAACTCACCAGTCATGTACTTCTCGATGGTCAGCCACTGGTTGGCTGAGTGGCAGTAGATGAGGAAAACTTCCAGGAACCTGTGGAAATAAATGCTATCTATCAGGAGCTGACACAGTAACGAACACCCTCACAGTCAGAGCACAGCAGGATGCAAAGCAAATATACTAAAAAGGAGGACGTGTCCTCCCTGGCTGGAGCATTTTCAACAGCAGGAGGTAACAAATGACAGATATCAGAAAGGCCTTCCGGGTTGGATAACTCTCAAAACAAAGCACTTCCTCAGAAAGTATAGTTTATGGACAAACAACATAATCTGATTTACTCCAGCCAACGTATAAACTTGCTATACGAATTCTCTTATGTTAATTGAATAAAAAGCAATTCTTGCTCAAGGGCTAAGGCGTAGCATTACCAAGAAGTTCATTTTGCCATCAGGTCTACCTATAAAGACAAAATTCAGGTCTACTTACCTTCCCTCCTAAAAGGTTGATAATATTATTTTGGCAAATGGAAGCAGTTATGTGAACTATTCAGTATCCATGATAATTGCCTCAAACCATTACATGTGAAAGTGACACTGTACAAAACTCGGTGGAATTACTAGAAAGGTCATGTGAAAGAGCAGTCAGTGACTAAGTTCTCTGTCAGAAGTCTCCTTTTTTCCCATCTTCTGCAGAGGGAAAGAATCTGTCTGTAGTGCTATAACGTGAAAACTCTACTGTGCCCCTCCCTCGGAAATTATGGCTTCCATTGAAATGGGAGGAGCTGGGAAGCAAGCCTTTCTGGAATGAATGCCTCAGAAACATCCATTAAAACACATCTTAATGAATGCCAAAATCTTCAGTACTAGTACTGAAGACAGAAAGTACAAAACCATTCTCTACCATTTCTCTTAAAGAAGAAAAGAGGTAATTAAAGTGAATAACTTTAAACAATTGCTTAATGAGCAGCAGAACTAAAGAAGCCTGATTTCCAGTGGATTATAGTCCTAAATCCATTACTCTCTCACCTCGTCTCACCTCTTGTGATATCCCTACCAGGTAACGTGTGCTGCGCCTCCAAGCACATATCAGTTGGCCATTCACTGAGCAGGCGTTGATCAGCCAACCAATTGCTACCAAAGCAAATGCATAACAGCTTTTATAACAGTTCAGCTTTCTTTTTCCCCAGCAGTGACTTGAATTTAGGTGTCTCTTTCTTCACTATTCTGCTGCTCTTCAAATCCATGCCGACTAAGACAAGGGAAAGTATATTCTCAAAGTGGGATTGTGTCATTTCAGTACAGCAGATTTAAAAACAGGCAATTCTAGAGATAGCTTATGGGATTGGGAGAGAAAAAAGTAAACAGAGAAAAAAGTAAACTTGTATCAGTCTCTACTGATACAAGTAAGAAATACTTGTCCTAGCACATTTTAAGCCAGACCTCTTGTCTCCCCTAAAGATATGACTAAGCTCTGGTAATGTGAAAAGCCATTTCACTCTGCTGAAATTTTCAAGTCTTTAAGAGCTGAAAGCCCAAAGTTTCTTGCCACGGTCTATAAAGTCCCTTGCAAAAGAAACAATAAAACTTTATTGTAAGTACTCAATATCCAAATTATGATCTGTTTTACCAAATGAGTATAGACATGTATGGAGACATTCAAAATACGGTGATATAAGGGATATTTTAGAAATAGACTGTGTGCAAGACAGTGATTTGCTTCTCATAATGTACATAGTTTAACCAGCTCCTAAATAAAAACTTTAGCATTATTCAAATAATATGAGAAACATGGATATTTCTCTCTTGTATATCATAAACATGTATATACATACATACAGACGTGTGTAAGTGTGCATATGTATGTATATATGCATATGTACGTGTGTGTGTGTGTGCGTGTGTGTGTGTGCGCGTGTGTGTGTGTGCGCGTGTGTGGGGGTATACATATACACATATAGAGAGAGAGAGATGTAGGTGTAGATATGAGTGTGATTGAAATGCACTTAAAAGGCCTTATCAGTCTGCTTTGGTTAATGGCAACCCTCTAGCACATCAAACTTGCCCACCTACTGCCTCAGATATCTTCCCTTCTTCAGCCACATACTCAAACATTATCTACCAGATAGTTCCTCCTGTAAAAACACAGGCATCAGAAACCAGATAGTTCCTCCTGTAAAAACACAGGCATCAGAAAACAGACTTCAACAAACAGGCAATAAACCTTATTTTTTGAAAGTCTCTTGCTGAAAACTTCTTTTCACCAATTGCTTCTTGTTTAAGCCACTGCCATTACTGTCATCTTCCATCCTGATTTATCTCTACGAACCTGCGTATATAACTAGATGGTCTAAGCAGCAGCTATTTTGACCCACTGTGGAAAGGAGGCTGTGTGAGATCTGGGACACAGCTGAGAAGAGAAATCTGATACCTAAAGACATTTTCCTACCTTGGAGTATATGGAATGGTATGAGGCTTCACTTGATTGAAGGTATAGATTAACTTCTGGGCAGCCCTTTGCTGCTGTATCTCCTAAAGACAAGCATGTTATAAACATTACTCACATGCTATCATGTAAAAAGATGTCATGGATTGTCAAAAAACTAAAAAACAATTAGGCTGATTGTTTGCATATTGTGTAAAAAAGGGAAACAGATATTCCTCAAAATCATGTTCCTTTCCAAAGAGTAATATCAAACCACAGGTCAACTATGCTGAAGGCACTTGCCAGTATAACCAATATAACTTTTAAGACATGTCAAACTAGATCAGTCAGTGCCTCTTAAGGTTTGAACTCACCCTGAGGCACAGATGTAGCACTGTGCCATCATGAAAGATCTTTTGCCACGTCTGAACCACCTCTGGTAGAAAAGACTTCACAATAAAGACTTGTCCCAGTTTTAACATATCATTCTCAGACCAAGTACAAATGACCTTCATGGCCCTCCGCAGACCCCCATCCATCTCTTCCTGTGACAAGACTTGGATCATTGCAGCCATACCACGCTGCGACCAAGAAGACATGCTTTTGTCGAGGTTCTTAGGTGAACTCTCTTCTAGCCGATAGACTGTCACTTCCTCTCCAGCTGAAACAAACAGTTTTCTTGGTAAAAGTCACACCTCACGGAATCAGGAAGGAATTGATTTAGCATCTTAAAACAACATATCACTTTACACATCTGTGTAAACCACACTTGAAGAGAGAGCTTTTTCATCATTATTGTTTCTTTCTGTGAAAACCTCCCCATCCAAATTTACACTACTTATTACAAATATTTCGCTTAAGATCTAGTGTGATAATACAAGTAGGCCAAAGAGCTTGTATCAAGCCTCTAAACAGAGATGAATTTAAGAACTCATGCATTCTTCCACAAAAACAAAGCCCACTGATATTCTGGTCTATGTAAAACAGCCTCCTCTGCCATAGTTTTTAAGTATTTAACGATGACTGGACTTAAAAAATATACATTTTTAAAGGGTTATCATTTTATCTCCAATGGATGAACTTAAATCTAAGGATTCTGAGTACGGCTCCTTTTGTTTCTTCATTCACGTTGCAGGAAAATGTTTATTAAGACTTGTTTTAAGTTAAATACAGTTGATGGAACACTCACAGTACTGTAACTGTGCTTAATGAAATAAACTAGGAAAGAAGTCAAAAAAGTAGATAAATGTGTTATCTGCTCCAAAACTGAAGGGCTGGAGGTTGCCACATTCTTCAGCAGACAGTCAGCAGAGTTTTGTCAAAAGTAATGAACTGGCCATTAGGAGCAAGGGAAGTTAGTACCAGAACTGAAAAGGGCACAATCCTTCCTTGGTATTTAAAGTTCTGTTTTGGAGAGCAATTCAAAGAGAACAAATTAAAGCAAATGAACAGAAAGTTCTCAGTTTGCCATTTTAAAGTAAAATTTGTCTTTTTTTCCCAGAAATTCCAATGTTATTTGTAGTGCACAAAATTTCAGACGTTCTGCTCCCACTGCCAACGTTTTTCTGAAAGCAGAACAAATCTGGTGAGCTTTAATTCAGTCCCAGTTTGTCTCCCTATGTAGCTGTAATAGCTTTCCTTCTTGTGGTGCAAATGGGACATCTTCCTTTTGCCATCATCGGTAAACTACTTTCTGTTTACAGATTGTTTTCTTAAACCTGGCTCTCCTTCTTTTAACTCACATTATTTGCAATGTTAATTCATAAGAAATAGGTGTTCACTAGCAAGAGTGACGAGGTAACTGCATCTGCTAGCAGCAAAGAATGGCATAAGGAAGGACAAACTGGATCCAGAGAAAGGTTGGTAGATTTCTACCCCTAAGTCATCAGTTAGCATAAGTGTCGGTGCTGTTGAACATTAGACTTTGTGCACATGTTAATTTAAAATAAACTAATGGAAAGTGACCTAAAAGTAAGACACTTGAATAAGGATACCATAACCAGGTACACTTCTTAACCGTATATCGGTTCTTCATTTTATTATCTTCGACAACTTAATACCAAAAAAGGTGTCTCCCAGCAGCTTCAGCGATTATAATATTCAATATTCAATATGCTCATAGCTGTATTAATTATCTGCAGTAATCAGCTTCCAAGAAACCCTGTGATGCTGGAAGTATCAGCGATTAGCTGCTGTGAGAAAAAGGATTCTACTCGTTGAAAAAAAGGTTCCTAGATCTCAAGTGTCTAGAGGCAGAGCTCCTGCTGCCAATACAGCACACTAATTTCAGATCTCTTCCAAATGATCGTATGTATTATTTCCTACCATTCTTCAATTACAGTACCGTTCTTTTTACCTTGGCACATTACAAGGCTTCTGTACCAGGTACAGGCGTACTGCCCTTTCACCCAACATCTGGTATTCCTCTTGATGGGATTTGCTACACCTATACATACATGGTTGTGTGTGTCTGTGTGACAGAATATAAATATGAGCATATATATGTAAACATTAATAGGAGAACCTTATCGCTGTCTTCAACTAACTAATGAAAGGTTATAGAGAAGATGAAACTAAACTCTTCTCAGAGGTGCACAATAATCACATGAGTGCCAACAGATCCAAGCTGCAGCAAGGGAAACTCAAATTAATATTATGAAAAAAAAAATTTTCCACGGTGAAGGTAGTTAAATACTGGAACAGGTTGTCCAGAGAAGCTGTGGAATCCCTGTTCACAGAGATATTCAAAACTCAACCAGATGAGCCCTCAGCAACCTGATCTAAATTGGCCATAGGGAGTTGAACTAGATGACCTCCAGAAGTCTCTCCTAACCTAAATTATTCTGACACTTTAATTCTATCCCAGTTCACTTGTTTTAGAAAAGAATTTTAATTGAATTTACTGAAATTAATCCAATGTCACAAATGCAATCTTCAAAAAAATAATACGTGGTCTATCGATAAAGCAGAAAATACCCAGAAAGTTGGTACTCACCAAAGAGCTGGACTGGTGTAAACGGTATGGTGTGAGCAAGTCTCATTAAGTTATTTCTTTCAACAGCTGCAAACAAGACAGATATGTCTACTGTACCGAGTAAACATCAAACTGGCTGAGTTTCAAAAACATCTGACATTGCTTTATCACAGCATACAAAGCCAAGTAAGCTGCAACGTGATTCTAGCCAGCATTTTAGAAATTCTACCCAGCCAGTAACACCCTTTTGTGCACCCAAGATATCTCACAATCGTCAACAGTCACTGTTTTCCCCGTATCTTCCTTCCCAGGAAACGGGCTATGCTCTCTGCCTCT